TCATCCACAGTCAGCCGGACTAGTGGAAAGAACTAATGGAACTGTAAAAAATAAGCTAATAAAGGCAATGTGTGAAACAAAAAGGACATGGACAGAGTGTGTAGATTTAGTACAACTAAATATGCACATATTACCAGCAGAAGGTACTAATTTGACACCATTTGAAATGTTGTATGGAAGAAACTTCCGCATTCCATTGACCTAACGGAAAGAGATGGCCCAGTTTCAGACTGGACATTAGGTGACTATATGCAGCAAATGTTAACACAGAAAGAAGTGCAAAGAACAAATTATTGTCCGACAATTTCTCTTCCACAGGAGACGAGACCAGTGAAGCCTGGTGACTGGGTGTTTGTGAAAGCCATAAAGAGAAAGTGCTGGTCGAGCCCCAGGTGGGAGGGTCCATACCAAATGATACTAACAACGCCGACTGCAGTGAAGATTGCAGAACGGAACGTCTGGATCCACCTGAGCCACTGCAAAGTACGAGACTTGGACGATCTGTCCTCCTGTCCTGGTGTGGAAGTCTGACTACAAAGGGGAGTAAGTAGGATAGACTTTAGTGATGGGAGGACCGACTCTTTTTTACTGATTCGGACCTTTGACTCTCGAACAGTAAAATGAACGAGTCGTGAACGAATAATTTCATTCATTCTTAGCCACAAGAGGAGCCATAAATCCAGTCTCCCTGTGATGGTATACATCGTGATTACGCAGTGTGTACGCTATGTCGTCATTGTTGATGTTGTTGTCATGTTGTTCGGCCCTCTTTAAATTAGCATTCCCGGCTCCCTCCCATCAACGGTTTTGTCCCATGGAGTCCTCCCATGCTGTGTTCCTCTTGGTATTGTGTGCTGTATTTATCTCAATTGCATCCATAGACATTAGGTCACCTGTAGTGATGGGAAGACTGACTCTTTTTATTGATTCGAATCTTTGACTCTCGAACAATAAAATGAATGAGTCGTGAACGAATCCTGAACTAATCATTTCATTCGTTTTACAGCAGGTGGCGCTTTAGCCCTATTGTGGGCGTTAAGCGTAAAGAAGGCTGCGGTTCTCAGACACTAAATACTGAAGGCAACATGGTTTGCTTCCGATGACAAAGTCTACAAAATACACAAAATGCCATAAGCAATTAAACCATGTGAAAACATAAGAAACAAAAACACACCACAGTGTGAAGATGAATGAGAGCAAAAGAGACCCGAGCTCTCTGTCATCGTTCGTTCATAGCAAAAGATTAGTTCACGTGTGATTGTTTTAAATGACATTGCTGAAACAAGAATTATCTGCCGAGCCTTTCAAGTTCGTTTGATCCCAAATATGAATTGAATTAGTACTCTGTACTGTGTATCTTTACATAAATATTGGGAAATTAACTATTTTACCATTTTCGGCTTGTGTCACAAATGCATACTTGTTTCCATTCTTTTTTTTTAGATGAAATAAGACGAGTTGACAATTTTACTTATTGTCAAATAAAAACAAAATGTTATCAACGAACCCACATATTTCAGGCTCAAACATATTTAGGTGTGATGTCATAATGCCATCAATAAAACTCATATCAAACACAAAGATCTGTTGGGTTATTAAACACGACTCCTACTCGCTTATCCCACCATTTTAGGGGAGCGGCATGATTCCAGTGTTGAAAATCTGTTTGAAGTGACATTGTGATGACAAACCTGTGATGTGTTAATTTTGATAAACAGGAGGGAAATGTAAATATAATTTCTATTTAGTTATCAAAGTGTGTTAAAACATAATCTGCTTATAAGAAACATGAAGACTCTCTGCTCTGAACAGGAAATGTTCTGTACGTACTCAAGAAATGTTTTACAATGTATTCTTCAAAGGATGCAGTCTGCTCCTCATCATCTATGTGAATCGTGTGAACTTTGCCCAAAAAGAATGTACACAACTGCTCAGCACCTATGTCTGTTCCTCATCATCTATGTGAAGCGTGCGATCTTTGCCCAAAAGAATGCACGCAATGAAAAATAACTGCTCAGCACTTATGTAACTTACTCAATAAAAGGAGCTGCAGTCCTCATACACTTTGGGACTTAGGTGAGCCAACTCTGCGAAGCTGTTGACCTCTCTGCTCCCCATCGCAGCGAGTAAAACTCACAACGTTGTCAGGTGTGGTTCTTTCCAGGTCATTCTATCTGTGGCAGTTAGATGACAATAGTGGTTGCTGAATAACGTATTTTTCGGAACCAACAGAGAAGTGACAACAGGGTCCATTCAGTGAGAAATTGGCTTCAATTAGTGCAATTATGCTGATTTTCACTTGTGTCCCATGCCCAACAGAGTTTTTGCGGCGCACAAAGACGACCCCCAGGAAACTGCTGCAAAACAAAAACCCATCAATCAACAAAGGCCTTCAATGAAAGCCTCCATCACAGAGAATACCGGGCACATTCCATGATGACAAGCATTTAGTCAGCTGTGACCTGTGTTGCGATGGGGGGCATAACATGTAGAGCTCCACTGAGGAAGGGGAAACATGCCGTAAAGCCGGTATGAAGGGCAGACGGGCTAATTGGCAGTGGTGTGTACATAACGCATTCATACAGTGAGGTTATCGCCATGCTGTTTATAGAATAACAGTGGTAAACACATCTGCATTCAGCACATACCCAGGGATTGAGCAGAGAAGGGGCACATGCTCATTCAAATTTAGAATGTGGGACATAAAAAATAAATAAATAAAAAAAATACAGTACACGTTTAACCACAAATCACCACAGAATCAAATGACTGCTCATTTGTTTTTATGGAAGTCAAGATGAAGTCACTGCTTGTTTTTGAATGCATCCTTTTTTTTGAACACCTGTGGCTCCTTCTTATTGGACGATGACTTAAGGGAAGACCATAGTTTACCTAACTTTACATTGGTATGTCTGTGTCAATATTGCCCAGGAGACTGACAAGGCCTGTATTCAACACATTTCACAATGTAGGGATGGGGGAGCTACATCAAGACCTAAGTGCATTCGCTTGTTAACTGTTAGATGGGCAGACTGGGGGGGAAATGTCACTGTGTGTGACATCTCTGTGTAGCAACTTAAAAATGTGGGTGTATAAATACAGGAGACGCTCTGCACAGTTGTTTGTCAGTTAAAAACACACCTCTGTCCACCTGTCACTAAATAAAATAAGTGATACACATAAAATATATTTACTGCACAAAATACATTTGCCCAAAAGAATTGCAAATGTCCCTTTGGTGTGTTTTGTTTTTCCTTTCCAAAATGATTCCATGTAGAATAATGCTCACGTGGTATTGTGTTTATATAATGTTCGGTCAGAAGCAAAACAAAAAGAAAAAACCCATCTGTGGCACCATCTGTGTTTATGAATCCAGGTTAAATAAGGTCCAATGTGCCACAGATTCCTCAGCATACATATGTTTTTAATTATTTTCAAGGAATTACTTAATATGTGGCGCTTTGGCCCAGAGGCAATGTCTCTGTTATTGGCCTGGAACCCCAGGGTTCACCTCCTGGGCAAGTTCAAATCCCGGTTAGGGCGGTTGGTACCTTCCAGTGGACTCGCCACCCACAGGAAGGTTTAGGGGGGTTGGTACGGTGCAATGTGATTTGGGTGGCGACTGCTGCCCCCTGACCCGGTAACGGATAAGCGGATGAAAACGGATGGATGGATGGATGGAATTACTTAATATCATATAGTCCATGTAGTTATGTGAAAGTGAACTTAGAAAATTTGAACTAACTTCCCAAAATAACATCCTGACAGGCTAATTAACGATGGCATTTGATACAGTAGCAGAAATTAGTTAAATTTACTTTTCTTAATTTTTTAAATTACCTCTATAATTTCACTATAAGAATTTGGAAATGTTCTATTGAAATATCTAAGTTCCCATGATAAACTTACACCACAGACTTTGCAACCATGGTTTTTTACCCATGATGTATCGCGTCGTCGCCCATGTTGTGTGCCAAAAGATGCGAATAGGTCGATAATGACAACAAAAGAAAAGAATATTAAATCGCCGGAGGGAGATCAGACGAAATTGTTGTAAAGAGATTCACTAGACACAGTTACAAAGGCAAGATACTTGGACAAGAAATAATCGATGGAAAAAACCCATACAAGGTCAACAAAGCTATAAGTGGAAGTGGGCGGACATTGAAAGTTGGCCAGACAATGTATATCATGCGGTAGATAATACAGTGCTAATGTAAAAGTCACAGTGGGATGTACGGATGTATGTCTTTTGTGAACATCATTAGAATAACAATTTACATGGAGGATTTATGTTTGCATTGTGTACATTTGTCATGTATGCAAATTACATTTTGATATATTTGAATTTTATTGATATTGAACATATGAATTAAATAAAAGTATAATGTAATTACCCGAAATAAAGTGTTCAGAACAGACTTTGTAATGCCTTTTGCTTGGATCTGGGTTGAAATTAGCACGGTTAATACGCGAAAGCCATAGCATCCTTCTTTCTGTCGAAATATCCTGCGTCCCTCGGTGACAGATCACTTTATGTCAAAAAAACTTTATCTTGCAATCTCCATTCCCAGATCGGTTGGTACAATCCCACACAACACAGGTATTTACCATTATCGGTGTTCTTTTGTGTATTTAATATCTATCTATACGCTCTTTTGCCACACAAGATGGCGTACTACGGAACTATGGGGAGTAGCGTGACGTCATCGGAAAACTATCTATTGGCCTTAGGTAAGAATAACATTTGAAATAACTCTCTCTCCTTTTCCTCCTCTCTATACGACAAGCAGTGGATCATAAAAGAGTGACTTTAGGACCCAGCGGAGTTCGGCAGGGAAACCCCGCGGCGTTGGATGTTTGTACTCCGGAGTGTCACAGCTAGTTATTTGTCGGGAGGCGCTGTAGCCATTCCATCACAACCCGATGCGCTGAACTACCAACATCCGAGCGGCTCATGGAGAAGAGAAATCAGCTTTAAGAAGCTCGGCGCGCACGCATTACGCATACACGAACCCGCGCACCAAGACGCACGGCGCAGAGACACCTCCTCCCCCTCCACTGTGGAAAAGAGAGCAAGACACAGAAAGAGAGAGAGAAACGCAAACTTCCAGCTCTTCCATGTGGAAATCCAAAGGTTGGAGGATAAAGTGTGATTTTTCCCTCTTTGGGGCTCACTTGCTCCCCCTCTCTCCCGCTCTCTTTCTCCCTCTCATTGTTTTTTCCAAAGAGGTGTGTGTCTATGAGAGTCTTGCTTGGTGAGCAGAGAACTTTAGTTGTTTGCGTGGTCGGCGGAGGAGGAGGACGCGGAGGACGGGGAGGGCGCGGAGGACGCGAAGGACGCGAAGAGTCAGGAGAAAAGTAGGAGGAAGATGGTCCGTAACGCCGCTTGGAGAAGAAGCTTACTGTGCATCCTGGTGCTCAGCCTCGGCTTTGCGTCCCCGCCGTGCAAAGCTCGGATTTACACCAACCACTGGGCAGTGAGGATAGTCGGGGGAACTGAGGTGGCCGAGAGGATAGCGGAAAAATATGGCTATAGAAACATGGGACAGGTAGGTCTTTAAATGCTCCATCCAATGATGACTTATTTCTGTGTCGTTGAAAATTGTTTTGTCAACTTTTACAACTAGAGTTAACGGTTTTACGTAACTCTAAAGCAGACAAACGGACTCACGGGTCTGGAGTCCAAACCTGAGTCATCAACATTGTCTGTCATAATTTAATTCAAACCCCCTCTGGATGTCACGCCACAGGGAAACAAAGAGAGAAGGCCACGAGCGGGATGGCACAACAGGTGCCTCATCGTTGCGTTTTCGCGGATCAGTTCTAATTTGGCGGACAGGAGCCACAGGGAGCTCCCTGTCATTAGCACGAGCCACCACTGGCTCATGTGTTTAGTGCTTTTTGACAAACAACTGAGACAGCCGCGGTCGTTTGGTTTATGGTCCTGGACAGGAGACCAAAAGGTCCACGTTCAAACAAATAACTCATGTTTTTCCTTCTCTGCGCTGTATAATCTTGTATTTGTGCCATACAAGTTATAACCCACTGAAAAATCCTTCCATGTCAGGGCCTGTTTTTCTTGGCAGTGTCATTCCTTAAAATTTAAACATGGTGTTTTGTTAAATTTAGAATCCAGTTTCCTTGTTTTTCTAGTGTTCAAATATGGTTGTGGAGAGAATCTTAAGAAAAAAAGCATTGGGTATACGGTGGTATTATATCTGACACTTTTGGAGACGGCAACAAACCACCACAGATGTAAAAGATATTGGTGTACGCAGAGGAGTAATACTGTTTTGAAATGTGTCTCCCCTGCGCATATTTTCTGGTGTTTTGACAGCGTTTAAAGACCTGTGTTCTTTGTTTTTCCCAGAAGTATGTCACACAAACGTGTGGACCCCACACATGCTTCAGTGTGGCCACCAAAATACTCAGGCAGTTCAAGTCTGCACTTGCCAGTCCTCAACATGTAGACTGTGTAGAACAGAGGGGGTGCATTCTGACAGGTTGTTGTGGGGTAGCCTAGTCAACAGTGATTGAACCCCCCCCTGCTACTCTTACCCCACCTTATCCAGCCTGCCCACCCAATACAGCGTACTCAGGTCCTTAATAGCCTTGTTTCTTTGACAACAACTAATGTGTGGAGTCCCTCTTCTTCCATAGGAATTCCCTTGTGGAGTGTAGTGTCACCCCCATCACCCGCCCTAATCTCCATATCAATATGGAGTGTTTATTGGACTTTGACACCTCATATCCAAAGGTTTTTACTTCACTTCCTGGTTCTAAGGTCAGATGAAAGCTGCTCCTGTGGGAGCAATAACAGCAGATTAGGGTTTCCCTAATGTGAACCTTGGCAATACGCTCTTCAAACCCTGCAGTATGCGCGTGTATATTTATTTATATATATATAATTAAATCAAACTTAACAGTGATCTTGAGTTAACAGACAAAAACACAACGAGTGCTTTATCCTGGCTTAGGTCCCAGGTTGTGTTATCATAAAATGTTCATAAGTTACTGGACTGAGCTGAAATGTGTTGTTGTGTTCAAATATTTTCCTATGTAACAAACCCTTCTGTGGCTATTGTGATTGAAGTAGATAATTTGGAGCTACTACTGCTGAGTGACAAGATGTTTTCAATTGTAAAGGGAATTCAAGGGTTCTAAAGAGAGAAAATAGGGGGATGGGTATGGAGAACATGTGACAGAGGGACAATATAGTCTTCTTGACAGCAGCAGAAAGAGGAGAACAGACAAAGATAACCACACACTGAGAGATGCGAGGAGGAGGGAGTGAGAACAGGCACCAAAGATGGACAGATGGATGAAAAGAGTTGGCATGGAGTAAGAGAGCACCTCGTTGGGGAATTCTGGGTAATCCTCTTAACCATGCAGCCCCCTTCCCAGACTAAGATACTGACACAAAATGAGTCTAAATCAGCTGATGAGGCCCCAGACGTGCATAACTGTTGAAATGCTTGTTTTGAAGAGATGCAGGGGACTCAGACATTTTTAGGTTAAAACATTGATCTTTGGGCTGGTTGCTAATGTTGTCAGTGGTGTTACTGCATGAGGCAAGGATTTGCATAAAGTCTGATTCAACGTGTACAGGCAGAAGTGAGTTGCTCTTCAGCCCCATTATCAGTGTGTGTTGAAATAAATTCAAATCACCATGTCAGTTGAGGTGATTAAAATCAGAATTACTGAAAAATATTTTCAATGTCCAGCCCACAGTGGGAGCAAAAAAAGTAAAAGAACAGCAACAGTCAGAGGAAAGACTTCAAAAGTCTGTGTATTTGATAGTTGCTGTATGTAGTCCAAACCTCAAGGATACACACTAAAATAAGGCAGTGTTTAAGTTGCAGTTGAGTTTACAGTTAAGACAGGACGTAGTTATTTGCTGACTGTGAAATCCCAGAATGACTTCTTTTTATGTGATCTGGATGTGTGTAAATGGAAGTTTTGGAAAAAAGAGCTAGCAGGTGGCAGTAGATTTTTGCCTTACCATTAAAGTCGCCAAGTGCCACTTTTTTTGCTCTTTTTATCTTTATCTATAGTGCTGTAGGAACATACAAGACCCAAAAAATTCAAGAACTGTGGGTGCAGTCTTGGTCACACAAGGAATTGGGTTAGCCGCTGTTTCAGTTATGCTCCGGTTCAGATTCAAGGTCTGGTTTTAGTCCTTTTGTATATTATTTTGTGATTTTTATATTTTATTATTGGAAATGGCCCTTATTGATTATATATATTTGTTCTGTTTACATGTACATCCTGAATGTGCTTCACGAGTCACGAACCACACACGTTCAGGCAAAACACGAACCTGTCGATTAGTATTTAGACCCAGTTTAACCCACCCTATTTTACGTGGAAAAATTGTGTCACTTTCTTTAACACTTGATGGATTTCTATTGTGGGGTGGACATGTTGAGTTCGTGCAGTGAGATAGTTGTCATGATTCACAGAAGTGTAAGTTATTTGTGTGGGTTGGGTTGCATCAGAATGAAAGTTCAGAGAAATCTAGGGCAAAAAACCAACCTGGGAGACCAAACCATGTTGTGAGGTATTGAGTGCAAACTCAGGAGGATGTGTGAGCTGTGGCAGCAAGAAAATCCACACTGCATCTTGTTCCATTTGTGGTCGGAGAAAGATAGAAAAGTGCAGAAAACACCAGAGAAAATAAGTTTTACAATATAACCTTGTACAGTATATACATATGGAGTTAGGTCAACAGTAAAATCCTGACACGCAGACATCTCGTGTGTACTGTTATCTTTTTCATTTGCCTTTTACTGCAACAGTCTTAGTTAGTGACAGCCTGTACGTGTGCTGCTGAACAGCACAGCTGTAAGTTGATCTAATGAACTCGGTAGTCATGGACAAGTGACGCACCCCATGACCCTTGGCAGCCATGACAGTTTGATCAACTTAGGGATTGTATGGCCTTTATCAGTTATTAAAACCTATTGCAGCCTGTGCTCTTTGACATGTGACTGGTATTCTGTCCATCTGTTTGCTTCCCTTTCATTTTTTAAACCAGTGAATGCAGTTTTAACTGCAACAAGCATGTAATTAGTTTTGTGGTTAATTTTAATTTACTAATCTAATTATCAGGCCTGTACTACTTCACCCTTTACTTCCGGGTCCTTGTCATTTCTGTTTCCTTTTGCCTATTTTTAGCCCTGAAATCAAACTGTTCATATTACTGTGGATAAAAAAAATCATTAAAATTCTAATTATTAGAAGTACCTCATACAATTTTTATGACACCAACATCTTTCTACTGGTCTGGTACCCCAGCATCTGAAAGATATAGAGACAACACAAAAGTCGTGTGGACCTTAGACAGTATAAACCTTTCCTTTTAAACACCAGACATGTGGCTATCAATCTTTAGTTATATTTCAGTTTCTGTTCAGATGTAAGGCTGATTGATGGATGATTAAGGTCAATCTTAAATCACAAAATTCAAGTTAGTATCAATCTAATACTTGAAAATGTCTACAGGCATAGCCCGACGAAAGATGTTTGACACATCCCTCATCCCTTGGTCTGACTTTTTATGTGCTCACAACAAAGTCGTAGTGGAAGTTAATTTCTACTGATGATATAACATGAAAACACATAAAGCCTTTGCCATTTTATAGCATCCTTTGGGTCGACCTACAGAGAGTACAATTGCTGACATGTTTGTGTGTGTGCGTTTTTGCAGATTGGGGATCTTAAAGACCTCTATCACTTATACCACAGTCGAACCATCAAGCGGTCAACTCTCTACAGTCGTGGTCACCATAATTTCATCTCCATGGAGCCAAAGGTACGATTCTATACAATAGATCTGTCACTAAATTACAGTACATCACTCAGAGTATCTCATGTATTTAGGTAGGTATTCAGAATAGAATACTGCTGTGTAAATGAAGCTGGTGATAGGTTTGCAATTAGACAGATGCAATTAAATAAAAAAAATGTCAATTGTTATTTCTTAAATCTCAAAAAACATCTTCTGTTTTGGCCTCATCCAGAACCTCTTAACTGTCAGTTTACTATCATAGAGGAGCAAAGATGCAAGATAATATTCAATTACTGAGCCAAAATCACAGACCCTATTAAAAATGTAATTGTTGACTGTTGAAATTGTTGAAAAATTCCTAATAACTAAAATGATTATTCTTATTCTTATTGACTAAAGGATGCTGGTCAGATAAGATATTTCCAGAATGTTTACCAGGACAGGAACTATTACATTCCTTTAAAACTTCACTTTTCCTCTCTGTTCTTCTCATCTCAAGCTGTTCTGATCACAGTCCTGATAGATGAAGCAGATGATAGATGAGGATCCTCTGCTACATTTCTATTTCACAAAGCCAGCTTCATTAGATGTGATGGATGGGGTTTCATGTGGGTAGATGGGACATGATACATAAAAAATCTCTTTTAGTATTAAAAAAGAGAGAAAAAGTCAAACACTGTGACAGCAGCTTTATATGCAACGTTCAGTGCACCTTTCACATGCTTAAAGAAACAGAAATAGGTTATAGGTCTATAACCTATAGACCTATATATATATAGGTCTATAGGTTTAGTTAAATGGATGTGTCCTTATCAGTATAGCTGTAAATTCTGAATTAAAGTACGATTTTCTGTGAGGTTTTACAAAGAAAAAGATGTATGTATTTATGTGATTACATAAAAACAGAAGAAAGAAAGCTGAAACCTCTGTCTCTGACACCTTCAGTCATTTTGTCTTGTTCAGTTTTATTCCCTATGTTGCAAAATATTTGCTCCACTCAACATATTTTCTCCATCTACTGTCATCATGTGTCATCCCTTCCTCTCCCTCTGCTTGGACTCCCTTTCCTTGCCTCTTCCTTTCCTCTGTGGTTTTCAGCATATTCATTGCCCTCCCTCTGTTGTCGGTTCCCTTGCTCTCTTAGTCCTGATACCGTGCCATGCTGTTGGAAGCTTTGTGTCCTGATGCCAGCTGGCTGTGAGACAGTGAATCTTACTGAGTTGATCAGAAAAGAGAGGTTAAATAAGAGAATAAAGAAACGGGGGTTAGTACAACACACTCGCAAAGGTGCACCGTGCAATCTCCATAACTTGATGGCAATGGCATGTCAAGGGTTGCTGTGGTGACAGAGCATAGCAAAGATTACTACTTTATGGCTTTCACTAAACGGACCTCTGCTCTGGTGAATGCGTTTAAAGGCCTTTGGACTTGAGAAAGTGTGTTGTTTGTCTCTGAGACCTTTGAAAGACTGAATAAAGATGGACTAAAAAAATAAGACTTGTGGTTTTGGAAGAGAATAGAATAGTTCATACGTCATGAGCGATCTAACAGACTTCATAATTAATATACAGTGGAATGATCGGTTTTCAAACGTAATTTGTTCCCAGGCCGTTTGTGAACCGAAAAGTTTTGAAAACTGAAGCAATGTTCCCCGTAGGAATAAATGTAAAATGGATTAATCCATTTCTGGACCCCTCATGGTTGCCTATTCAGACTTTTTCAACAGTATTTTGTTTACAGGTTCATACACTAAACCAGTGAAAATAATTAGATCTAACCAAAAAAGACAAAGACAACTGAATAAAGAATAAAGCAATAAATAGGAAAGGCAATTTGATTCATCCTTACTTGTGCTGAGGAGTCGTGATTGCGCAATGTTGGCTGTGCTGTCTCGCAAATTATTGTCTCCAAAATATTTTCTTTCGGCCAACTGCTTTTCGTTGATCCAAATCAGTAGCAACTTTTCCACTTCTTCTAATGTCTGAGATCTTTGCTTGGTGATCACAGTTACTCCTTTGGCAACCTTAGTTTTTTTAATTCTTTTTTTTTTTTTTTTTTTTTTAAAGATGGTACAAATCAAAGACTTTGCTCAGCCATACTGAAAAGCCAGATCTGAAACACGCCATACTTATGCTTTTGTTTAATCTTTGTTCACTTCTCTTCCTGTTCTCACTACTTTTCTTTTTGCCTTTCCACTTTCACTAGCTTTTTTAAGTACCATGGTGGAGCAGTTTTTAGCGTGTATACTCCAAGCGCAGGCTGAAGCAAGACTGACGCTCAGTCACTTAGTGGTCACTCGCTGCCTGCGTGGTGTTTTTAGCTTGTTTGGCAACCAAGTTATGGTACGACAACCAGGGCAATTTGTAGTTGAAAATTTTGTTCGACAACCGATTAGTTTGAAAAGGGAGCCGTTCGAAAACCGAGGTTCCACTGTATTAGACATTGTTACCAGTACATAAACCAAAAAGATTTAGCATTTTACCACACTAGGAATTAACACACATCTCTAGGATGCGCTGCGATGTTTCATCAGTGATGTTCCTGGAGTCATCGGGGCTTTCAGAGCTTTCAACATCATACCCCCTCACATGCAGGTGACCCAACCGGGGTTGATCAAGTCCCGGTTTGCATCCCAGCCGCTGTAGTCCACGGGCTTACCCTCTTGATCCCAAGCCATCAAGTGGCTTTTTCTGCGGCTTCAGTGATGAAACAGATGGCTCCCCTCTTGACAGCTCCAGTTACTGCAAGCCCTGCCAGAGCTTTACAGATAGAATGGCCTGCAGCCCACCTCAATTAGTTTGCAGTGAGCCCGCCAGCCCTGGCTTGTGCACTTCTCCACCAGGTCCTGGTACTTTGCCATCTTCCTCTCATGCGCCTCCTCCATATGCTCCTTCCACAGTACGCTCAACTCCCACATACTTACCTGCTTGGTGACGTCTGAGTATATTATGAGGTATGGGCACAGTCTGGTCCGGGTGATGTGTTCGGGGACCTTTAACTGTTGTCCAGTTTTTAGCTGCCAATCTGGGGCTGAGGACAGCCACACTGTGGTCATTTGTGGGGAGGAATGGGGCTTCTCTCTAGCCTTAAGGAAGGGGATGGAAGTCTTCCTGGGTCAGTGTTTACTGGAGAGGATGGCTGAGGTGACTGCTTCGGTAACTGCTTCGGTAACTGCCTTGAGCACCTGGTCATGGTGCTAGCGGTAGTGACCATCGGCCAAGGCCTTGGGGCAGCTGCTGAGTAGGTGTTGCAGGGATCCTCTTCCTGCACACGGGGTAGGCCGGTGTCTCGCTCTTGCCCCAGGTGTGTAGGTTTGCTGGGCTTGGCAGGGCGTCATACACAGCCTGGACCAGGAAACTGATGCGGTAGCTATCAGCACGCCACAAATCTGGCCACGTGATTTTTCGCTGCTGCGTCTTTTCCCACCTTGTCCAGGCTTCCTGCTCTCACCTCCTCAACACCTACGCACACTTTCTCCTGGTGGAGATGTTGACGGTCCTTTATTTTGCTGTTCCATCCTGACTGCTTGGAAAGGAGCCCAGGCCTGATTGCCCTTTTGCCACCGTCCCAACAAGGGCCTTCTGTCTTAGCCGTGCCTCTGCCACCTGTAGCATGGATCTGGATGCCAGCTGCTGCCATCTTGTTTTCCCTTGACTCTCTGTACTGCATGGCCTCCCTTGTCCGTGTTACCACGAACTCTTCACATAGGCCACTAAAGGGGAGTTGGAGGGTGTTGGTGGACCTGTACAGGGCAGCTCTGCTCAGGCTCCTCGTCAAGCCTAACCACCTTCGCAGATAACTGCTGATCTTCTTCTCCAAAGCTTCCACAGTTGACATTGGGACATCGTACAGCAGCAGTGGCCATATAACCCTGGGAAGAATGGCATGCTGGTAGATCCATGCCTTGAAGCGACCGGGCAGTCCAGATTTGTCAACCTTGGTGAGCCAAACACCTAGATCCCCACAGGTCCTCTGGATGGCAGCTGTGTCCTTCAAGCTGCAGTCAAAGAGTTTCCCCAAACTCTTGACTGGCTTTTCAGACAGTGTTGGAATTATGGTCTCCAAGATCTTGAACTGGAACTTGTTCACAACTTTTCCTTTCTTCAAGACCAAGGACCTAGACATACCTGGTTTGAACCTCATCCTAGCCCGTGAGCTGTGCCTCTCCAGCCCTTGTAAGATCCATCTGCTACCAGGGACCGAGGATGTTGTCACGCTCAGGTCGCCGCCAGACAACTCTCAGGATCTTCCACAGTTGCTGGCAGAGTCCCGGACAGTGTTTGTGAACGCTGCATGGAACTCCGCTTGGTCCAGGGGCAGAGGCTGATCTTCCTGGACCTCTCTCCAACTTGGTTCCTTGACGTCAAACTCCGTTGGTGGTGGAGCTGGGCATATAAGGGAATTGTTGTGGCCGAGTTCCTGGTCTCGTTCAGGGTCGCTCAAGGTGTTGTGAAGGAAGGTGAGCATTCGAGGTGGCCACTCCGTTTGTCGCCAAGCAGCTTCCTGATAAAAGTGAACGGGTTGACAATGAAGGATCCTCGCTTCTTGGCCCTCTCCTTCACTCGTCTGTGATGCCACTCCGCTCGGTGAATCGTCAGGAGTTTCTTCCTCAGGATCACTTGCAATTCCACTAGGCTGGCTATAGTTTAGTGCACTAGACAAATGTGGACTAAACTATAACCATATGTATCTTTTGCAAATCAGAATATAATTTTCACATTCACAATTATATACAGTGCTGTGAAAAAAACATTTGCCCCCTTCGTGATTTCTGTGTTCTTTGCATATTTATTACACACAAAGGTTTCAGATCATCAAACCAATTGTAATATCACACAGACAACCCAAAGAAATGCAAAATGCAGTTTCTAAATGATGATTTCATTTATTAAGGCACCAAAACATATCCAAACCTATCTGGCCCTATGTGAAAAAGTAATTGCCCCCTGAACCTAATAACGGGTTGTGCAGTCAAAGCAAGTAGTCCTGGTCCTGAGGCAGCAAAGCAGACCCAGACCATCACACTGCCACCACCATGCTTTACTGTTGGCATAATGTTCTTTTTATCATATGCTGTGCCATTTGTACGCCAGATGTAACGGGCTGCACACCTTCCAAAAAGTTAAATTTTTGACTCGTCAGTCCACAGAATGTTTTTCCAAAAGTCTTGAGGTTCATCAAGATGTTTTTGGCAAATGTCAGACGAGCCTTTGTGTTCTTTTTTTGACAGCAATGGGTTTCGCCTGGAAACTCTCCTGTGGATGCCAGTTTTGGCCAGTGTCTTTCTTATGGTAGAGTCGTGAACACTGACCTTAACTGAGTACAGCGAGGCCTGCAGTTCTTTGGATGTTGTTCTAGGTTCTTTTGTGACCTCCTGGATGAGTCGTCGTCTCACTCTTGGAGTAATTTTAGTTGGTCGACCACTCCTGGGAAGGTTTGCCACTGTCTAATGGCTCTGACAGTGGTTTGCTGGAGCCCCAGAGCCTTGGAAAATTGGTAAAGGTGCACTAGTGCACATAAAAAAAAATGACTTGCACCAGCAAAATTACTGAATTAACTGGGGTTCTTCATTATAGTCGGGTAAACATTTTTTTAACTAAATATTTTATACCTTTTGTTGTGGTAAACTTGCTATGATTTTGTGGGGCCAAATAAATGTCAAAAAATGTTTAAACAGCAGCTGTGGGCCACACATGACAGTGTATCGCTATCGCTTTACTACAATTCCCAATGTGGAATGCCCCACCGGATCATGTGCACGCTGTAATTGACGGGGTTACCGTTTAATACTGTAGGTGCAATAGGTCGAGTGCTGCTTAGGAGCACTCGGTGTTATCAACCAGTCTCAAATTAATAGCACCACCAGTCTCGTTAAAGTTATCTTTAATTATTATCTTAACTTACTAATATAGCAACAATGTGTTACTTGGAGTATTACACATATACTATAATCAATAGTCTTAATAACAACTAAATATCTGAAGGATTTTTAGAGATCTTGGCAAATTGGGTGGCTTCAATGAATAAACGACAATGCAGACAAAATACAGTTAACAGTAATCAAATTTATTAATACAACACCGTTAAGGTAATAATGGTGATAACTCAAACACTGATCACGGCAATAAAACAAGGTACAATAGTGTGTATAGGTGTGTGTGTGTGTGTGTGTGTGTACGTGCATGTAGAAGAAGGAAGAAGAGAGAAAATGGAAGGAGGGAGAGACGTTATGTTCTCGCTGGGGAGCGAGTGACTGAGCTCTCGAGGCGTGGTCACGTGCGCGGTCACGCAACGTGACTAGAAAAAGTAAGGGGGGGGGGGTGACCCGGGGGCGCGGAGTTACAAGGAGCGTGTACGCGCAGAGGTGTGAAAAGGGTTTGTGTAGACACAGCAATACACTCGGGTACAATAAACAGGGCGCGTGATATCAAAGTATGTGGGGGAAGGGAGTCGCACCGCGTGGTCTACTCAAGACAAAGGACTTTGTCAGAGTTACCTAACCACAATACTTTATCACGAACCAACTCAAACAAACTTAACCGGTTATGGATGCAATCAATAACCTCGTTAACCGTAAAGCACACACAAAATAGCAGAGAAAACAAACATGCAACAAGAGAGAATTTCGGCAGCAAATTAACATACAGCGTTCACTTTACACATTTACAAAAGGTACGTATGGACTCCTCGTACCTAGGCTTAATGCTTGACGATAGAACGTTACACAGTAATAAACTAATGTGCCCAAAATGCCGGGCCTTACTTGTAGGTGTCTGCTCGCGGTCCGGAGCAGAATACTTTCCGAACTTTGCGATCCTCGTAGAGGTGGTGACGTATAGGTTACGGTCCCGGCGGCGTAGTTGGTTTCCTGAGTCCACAGTCCATGTCCATACAATACTTAACTTGCTTAAGTGATTTCTTGATACAACAAATGTGGTGTGGGTTGGGTGTGGCCTGTGAAATGAAACTCGGCTTTCCCAAAACTGTGGTTAGTCACAGTTACTTTGTGATTTAACAAGGGTAGGCAATTACTTTTTCACATAGAGCCTCACATTTTTCCCCCTTGGTAAATAAAATCATCGTTTAGTAACTGCATTTTGTATTTCCTTGGGTTGTCTCTGTGTGATGCTTAAATTGGTTTGATGATCTGGAACTTTTGTGTCTGATAAATAAGCATTAAGAAACTGCTGTAAAGACTGGAAAAAACAGGAGCCGTCTTAATGTTGGTTTGAAGCTTGTGTCTTGTGTATCTTTATCAACTAAAAAACAGTAATAAATAAAATATACGTTGGTTCCAATTGACGTCATATGTCTCCTTGTATCTGAAGAGGCTTGCACCTTGCACCGTTATGCTGACACACAGCTGTGACTCATCTGTATTGGGACTTCCAGGAACACTTCAATAGCCACAGACTTATTTACACGTAGCGATGCAGCCTTGTCATTAATGCAACATGAGTTCAGTATTCAGTCCGCTCTGTTTGAAATGTATTTCCAGCCATTTCAACTTTAGCATAAACAACAATTACAGTGCTCCAGTGGCAGTTTCTACTTTTATAATGTCCTTTTGATGTCTGTGCGGAGATTAGCAGCAACTGTGTGACTTTTCATCGGCATTCTGTCACTGGAGCAAGGCGTTTCCACTCACTTATTCACAGATGTGTGACATAAGCCAGGTGTGGTCAGCATCCTAACCCACGCTGCTTCTAGATTTTTCTGATAATTACGAGTAGCAGACTTTTAGAGAATATGTCATCAATCAGAAGTTTCACTTCTGTCAAGAGTTTGCGAACAACAGGTTGCAGGGTGGTTTTCATCCTTCATCTGCCTTTTGGACTCACTGTACAAATGCATGTATATTCTATAAAAGGACAGAGGTCGAATGTGTGACTCTATTTAATCTCATCGATTAACTTAGAAATAAGATTAAAGTGTGATAATCAGACTCCAAAATTATTTTTTGCCTCATTTTGTAACATATAAACTATAAGAATGCAATACTCCGAGCCAAACGAGGGCTTGGCAGCACTTCCACCATCAAATTATCTGCTCCATGTGATTCATGTCTCAGTATTGCACTTCAGAGAACTGAAGAAGTGGCTTTTTATAAAAGGTATTTGTGTGATCCGTCGCCTAGGACCTGTTTGCCTTTGGAGACCCTACCGACAACATAGCTCCTAGGTTCATTCGGATACTCGAACCCCTCCACCACGTTAAGGTTGCAGTTCAAGGAGGGGATGTCTGAAAATGTTTTTTAAACATATGTAAATATATGTTTTTTATAAATATTTTAAAGTTTGTAATCTCACACCAAGGCAATGTCCTTTTGCTTAGTAGACCAAAAATAATACAATTTTGTTTGCTATTTGTCAAATGCTGGCCTGTGACTAAAAGGCGGGATAACGTTGTCAAGTTTTGGTTACAGAATGGGATACGTTACTGCAAGTGGTTAAAAGTTTCTAGGCCATATTACTGTGTGTAGTGTTTTGTCAGATGATGACTTTTATGTTTTTTAACACACTAGTTGGACCCCTACAAAATGGTTGCAGACGAGAGAAGTTAAGTGTAACAACACTGCTTAATGTCAACACTGCTGATACATGCTAATGTACGCAAATTGTAATGATACACCAGTGATTTTTGTGCAGACGTACCCCTGCTCTTTGCTGCTTCTCCTACAGGTTTTTTTTTACAAGTGCTGATATACTGTAAGGTCCGTCACTGCCACCTACAGGGTCAGTTTATACCCCTGAAATGTTTCAACCACCCGCAATAGAACGATATAAATAGAAAATGCAAACAGAGGGCAGGTTCATTGCAGATTAACACACTAACATAAACATTAAGTGAACTGTTCCTTGATTTTGTTTTAGGATATCAATGAATACTTTACCCTTTTCTAATTCTAATAAAAAAGTTATGCGTCTGATCAGGTTGTTTTATTCTCTGTCCTGTGTTTCAGGTGGAGTGGATACAGCAGCAGGTAGTTAAAAGGAGGATCAAGAGGGATTATAAACCGTCCCCTCCCCTTTCTTTATCAAGCTCAGCCCTGATCAGTCAGGCCCAGAGCAACATATTCTACAATGATGCCAAATGGAGCAGCATGTGGTACATTGTGAGTCATTCTCTGTGTTACATTACAGTTACATTAAACCAAAGGAGGACTGTGGACTGAAAGTTTCCCCAGTACACATTGGCATTGTGGGGCAAAGTGAGGTTCATCTGAAGTTGTACAGTGGTTATGGTAACTCCTCTGCTCTGTCAATTGTTAACTAGATAAATTCTAATATTTTGACCAGCTGATATAAATATATTTCAAGCTGAAGGACAGACCTCCCTAAACTTTGTGGGCGGATGCACAAGGTAAACAAGTTTGTGAAGTAGTTTTGAAAAGCAGGTTTCTGATGGTTTTTAATCAAAGTAAACATATTATGATTCGCATTTGAGATGAAATAAAGTTTGGAATCCCAAACCTTTGTGTCCCTGTTTGTCACATTCCAAAGCATTTCAACTGGGCCATGGAAACAACTTATTGCCAAAGTATAATTAAAACATGACACATTTCTATGACTTTGTCAGGCTGAAATTCATGATATAGTTTATGATAAATTAACATGGATTTTTGTTTCCACAGCACTGTAATGATGATGTCCATAACTGCCAATCTGACATGAACATTATGGGAGCTTGGAAAAGAGGCTACACAGGAAAAGACGTAGTCGTCACCATCCTAGATGACGGCATCGAACGGAACCATCCGGACCTCTTGCAGAACTACGTGAGTGTGTATGTATGCGCTTATAGGGCGTGTGCGTGTGTGTGTGCGTGCGTGCGTGTGTGTTTCTATTCCCTGATTTTACGATTCTTCTATGGAGAACACGTGTCCACGTCTTTTTCCTCCAGCACTCATAACTAATAACTCTTCTGTGTTAAAAAAAAAAACTTCAAGTTAGTTTATTTATTTTTTTAATTTGGGACTAAATGGCTTTGCCCATTTTTTTTTCCTTCAGTTTATGGGATTAACACAGTTAAATTTAGTTAGTAGTAGTACTTAGCAGTTAGTGGTCTTTCCCAAACCCTCCAATATTGATTTTTTTCAAATGTTAAACAAACATTGTTGTAATATTTATTTTCTCCTCCCAGTTCAAAATGACCTGGCTAGCACATTAGTACTGTTTAAGTCACATAATAAGTCATTGTGACTTACAAATTTTGGTGACACGTCCTCAATGCCAATGTGTACGTATTTAGTGGATGTCACGTACCCAGGGTCGGCTAAACAAACCAGCTTCTCAACCTTAGGCCGTAGGTACCGGTCATCAATCAACTGTGCAGATAAAATGATTCCTTCCTTCTGAGGCCGCCCCTGTGCTGTTGTCATCAGCTCTTCTTAAAGCCTGGATTTGTTTATGCCGAAGGGAGAGCTGTGTCACAAATTGAGTTACCACTGATTGCTTTTGATTTACATACAGTTGTGTTCAAAATAATAGCAGTCCAACATGACCAACCAGAGCAATCAGTGTTTTTGGTATAAATCATATTATTATATGGCAAATAATTTACCAGTAGCTGTAGTACAGTCAGAGAAACCAACAGACCCAACATTCATGATATCAATGTTCCTGAGTCTGTGTAATTGAATAATTAAGTGAAAGGGGCGTGTTCAAAATAATAGCAGTGTGGAATTCAATCAGTGAGATCATTCATTATGTGAACAAACAGGTGTCATTCAGGTGGCCCTTATTTAAGGGTGAAGCCAGCACATGTTGTACATGCAATTCTCTCTAAAAACTTGAGAAAGATGGGTCGTGCCAGACATTGTTCAGAAGAAAAGCGTGCTTTAATTAAAATGTTGATTGGAGAGGGGAAAACATATAAAGAAGTGCAGAAAATGGTAGGCTGCTCAGCTAAAATGATCTCCAATGCTTTAAAATGGAAAGCCAAACCAGAGAGACGTGGAAGAAAGCGGAAGACTACCATTCGAATGGATCGAACAATAGCCAGAATGGCAAAGAATCAGCCAATGATGAGCTCCAGGGAGATCAGAGACGACCTGAAGTTACCTGTGAGTACCGTGACAATTAGAAGACGCTTGTGTGAGGCTAATCTATCGGCAAGAAGCCCCCGCAAAGTCCCACTGTTAAAAAAAAGACATGCTGAAGAGGATGCAATTTGCTAAAGACCATATCGACTGGCCTAAAGAGAAATAGAGAAACATTTTGTGGACTGATGAAAGTAAGATTGTTCTTTTTGGCTCCAAGGGACGCAGACAGTTTGTCAGACGACCCCCAAAAACTGAATTCAAGCCACAGTACACCGTAAAGACCGTGAAGCATGGTGGTGCAAGCATCATGATATGGGGCTGTTTCTCTTATTATGGTGTTGGGCCTATTTATCGCATACCAGGGATCATGGATCAATTTGCTTACATCAAAATACTTGAAGAGGTCATGCTGCCTTATGCAGAAGAGGAAATGCCCTTGAAATGGGTGTTTCAACAAGACAACGACCCCAAACACACCAGTAAGCGTGCAGCATCTTGGTTCCAGACCAACAAAATTAAGGTTATGGAGTGGCCAGCCCAATCCCCGGACCTTAATCCAATAGAAAACTTGTGGGGTGACATCAAAAATGCTGTTTCTGAGGCAAAACCAAGAAATGCAGAGGAATTGTGGACAGTTGTCAAATCATCCTGGGCTGGAATACCTGTTTACAGGTGCCAGAAGCTGGTTGACTCCATGCAGCACAGATGTCAAGCTGTTCTCAAAAACAGTGGTTATACAACTAAATATTAGTTTAGTGATTCACAGGAATGCTAAATCTTCACATGTTTTTCAATTTATTGAGTAAATATTTGAGTTTGTAATGAAAAATGCAGACACTGCTATTTTTTTGAACAGCCCAATATAATTTTTTCCTTCATTTTCTCTTAAGTAATTAAAATATTGGGACTTTTTTTCATGGTTTGATGTAAAATATAATGTGCAGTGTTCCCAACGAATGGAAATAAAAATATTATAAGGATTTTGAGCTTTACTCACGTTTTATAAAACACTGCAACTATTTTGAACACAACTGTAAGTGATGCTAATGTGAAATGTGTGATGGGTTAGAAAAACTTACTGGTGTTCCATACAGAGACTGACATAGAGCTGAACCTACTTTCCTAATGAATTGTTTATGTGATGTTTTTTATTTTACTACCTGATGATTATTACCATTGAACTGAATGTTTTCCCCAGGACCCCCAAGCCAGCTTTGACGTGAATGGCAACGACATGGATCCAATGCCTCGATATGATGCGACCAATGAGAACAAGTAAGAATCATAATTTAACTGAATGTTTTTTTTTTATTGTTATATGTCTTGGTTCACATATATCTTTGGGTGATGATAAACCAAAATCTGAAAAACAAAACATGTTTTTATTTCTTTAGTCCAGACTTTGATGTGGGTGTGATGAGCTGTATTTGTGTGTTGTTGTTTGTGGATTTGCTGTTTGGAAAAATTCCTGTGTGTGGCTGTGTTTGTGTAAGAGTAAAAAAAAGACACTGGCTCATCCAAGCACTTGTCCTGTGCCAGGTTGGCTCAGTCAGTAATTTTTCAGAATCAGAAATGTTTTTATTGCCAGGTAAGTTTTCACCTACAAGGAATTTGTTATGGCATACAGTGCAGCGAAAGAAATGTACATTTGGGGTATACAAATGTTGATAAAATAAATTAAATTATGCCTATGTGTTGGAAGAATTTAATTTATTGTCATTGCTTCATGCTGTACTGTCGCTTTAAGGAACGGTTTGCTTCTCATATTATAATCTAGTGTGCTCAAGACTGATGGAGAAATTACCAGACACAGCCACACCCACGTTCACACCCACCTTCTTACGCCATACCCATTCATATACTCACACACGATCACATGATATGTAATCTGATACTTTTGTAAACTAAATAAAAGAGCAGAGGAAGGGTGCAGCAACTCGGAGTTGATGAGGAAGCTGCCAGCAGAGCAAGCTGCACTCTCCCCTTGCAAGTAAAAGATCAAGACGTCTTTTGTGTTGTTACTTTGTCGTCACATATGTTAGAATAAACCTAACACTATGGGTGGACATTTACAGAATAGTAAATATGCAACATTTTTAAAGTGCAGGGGGGTGTGTCTGTGTAGGTGGGGGGGGGGGGGGGGGGCGGGGGGGACGTTGTTCTAGTCAG